AAATGACGCTGCTGAAGACGTGCCACCTGAAGAAACCACCATCGAAGAAGAAACTCTACTCGGGTTCGGGAAGGGAAACGGTGAAGCTCTTGATGAAGTTACTACCACTGATGTGACTGTTATCGACGATGGGACATTTACTGATGAACGGATGAACCCCACATGAAGCAGAAGCCAATGAGACGGAGACCAGTACGGAAGAAGATACGTCCCGTAAAATTAAGAGACTTTGTTGAATTGTAATTTTGTGTTTGTAATTCTGTACAGTTAATTAAGTTATTGTTAATTGTTATTGGTTTATTGTATGTGGTTATTGTTCGGGACGAACAATATTAAGGAGGGGGCAGTGTTGCGTCATCGAGATCATGTGATTCTCACGCTCTCTCCTTTCTTCAATTATCCTGTACTTTGGCGAATATTCTAGTTCTTACTAGATATAGGGTAGGCGGATATATATAAGAGGGGAATGTAACGTGTCTGGGGAGATAGTGAGTAATTGATCTGCGGTCAGAGTATTATTGACGTTCGTTGCTATAGCGTTTGTTTAGCGCGATTGTTGAAGTTGAGTGTATCGGTTAAGTTATATTCGGAAAGAATAAACCAGTTTTATTAAGTAAAGACTTGTGTCGCTTAAGTTTCGTCGGTACGAAGTTACGGAAAATCAATTAACAAATGGAGATGTAACAATATACAGAAGACTGAAGTTGTTTAAAAATGGTACTAACACTAACATAAATGGAAGAAAAGTAGAAAAAATGGCCATAAACTGAGAATAATTGCACAATGGTGCATACAAAGGGTTTGACATACATAGAACAATGAAGATGTAACAACAGAGAAGTTAGTTTCTGCAGACATACACTATGATAGTTTCATTACAGGTGAAACAACTTTCACAGTAAATATCTATTTGTTGGTTGTTACATAAATCTACAAGTGAAACAACTTTCACAGTAAATATCTATTTGTTGGTTGTTACATAAACCTACAAGTGAAACAACTTTCACAGTAAATATCTATTTGTTGGTCGTTATATGAAACAACTTTCACAGTAAATATATATTTGTTGGTCGTTATATGAAACTACAGATGAAACAACTTTCACAGTAAATATATATTTGTTGAACTTGTTCTCTACGGCAACTAGAATTCATTTCGTTATTTCTCCGTATTTCCGTTCGTCATTCGGTCAAAGCAACACTTGGCGTATGGTTGCGTAGCCATGTACATTAGCTAATGACATAAAATTGAATCCGATAAAAAAAAGATGATGTTTTTATTACAGAAGCTTTTAACAGTAAGTCTAATCGTGGAAGCAGCCATTTTGGCCTTACATAAAAGACTTATTTTGAATTTGTTGTAAGTGAAAATGCAAGTAAATCCCAATCCCAAAGTTTTTAATGCAGTGCAAGTTGTGTTTGCCCAAAAAGAATATTTACAGTACCAATAATAAGAAATCGCTTTACATCTTTTAAAGATACACATTAGTTACAAACATTCCCACAAACTCAAGGACTTTGGTATTACTAAGCCATGCCACATATCACATACACATCTTTTCTTATATTTTACTATTTGTTTTTGAAGGATCTTCTCCATTGAATCAAGGGCTGAACCTATAAGTAGAGATGCGGGTGATTCCAAAGAAGAGCAATGCACACTAGAGTCAAATGAAGATGAAGAAGTACATCTGTATAATTTTTTTTAAATTTGTTAAAGACAAGTATAGATCGATATATATATGTAACCTTACTAGCTATAGTGATGTTACGACAGCGGAAGTCACGTGACTCTGGTAACACGTCATGAGTTTCTAGAAGGATCATGACTTTTCCTGGCAACTCTAGTCTTTTCTAGGCGCCCTCTATTTGAGTATATAAGCCCGGCAAATAAAGCGGAGATAATTATGGCATAGATATAGAGACAGATAATTGAGTCAAGTGAGCAGTAGTGACCGTAAGTAAAGTGCGTGAATCGTTGTTTAAGTTAAAGTGACTGTGGAAATTCTGTGTATTGCAAAGTTGTGTTGAGAAAAAATAAACTAGTTTTATTTAAGAAAGGACTTGTATCGCTGAAGTTCCTCGGGAAGAATTTTTACGGGAATAATCAAACAAGCAAATACGTAACAGTGATATAGAAAGTTTTGATGCTACAAAACGTATTGAAACAAGAAAATTAAAACTACAAAAACCGAGATACTTAATTTTTTTTTAAATATATCCCTCCTTTGGCAAATCACTGTAATTATGTTAGCTTCTGAGCCAATACTGTTAGTCTGTTTCAATATTTTTTGTAGCATTAAAACTTTCTAGATCACTATAGCTAGCTAGGTTACGTATATATCGATCCCTATTTGTCTTTATAAAACTTTTAAAATTTTATTATACTTCTATATAAATATGTAGCTTCAACAATAGCGCCGCTATATTTTTCTTGTAGCGATAGCAGCACTTCATTAAAAAGATAACTCGCGAAGCTGCAGTTGTATTTATAGACTCAAATTCGCTTATCTTCCTTTATTAAAATAATAGATAGAAAATCGTTAAAAATTATTAACTTCACCTTTACAATACTATTAAACACAAAATTCATGCTGAAATATTATGTTTAAAAACTAACAAGTATGAAAAAACTATCATGTTTTATCAATCAAAGCTTGTTTAAATAAACAACCGCACTATCCTCTACACTTATTTCATCTAATTTATCACGAGTTTTACGATTTTTTTTTATGGTTTTCTCAAATTTTTATTATATTTCACTGTATTTTGAAAACTGATGTCAAACTAATTTTGGTAAAACTTCATGTTTCATGGATATGTGTTTAGTTGAGTCCTAGCTTAACAAGTTTTAACTCTTCAGTCTCTAATGAAGAATAGCGGTTCCAACGACTACACTACTCAACCCTATAAAACAAGAAATTTATCAACAAAAGACACAAACCTATCAAAGTACCACTAGCGACAACGTTTTAGTTTGAATCGAGGGTATGCTATTTGCCACTATCAGTTTTTTCTTATTTTCTCATTCAAACATATATATATATATATTATAATAGATAATGTGTGTCAATAAGAGTATTAGCTTATACTGTTTACATACATGATACAGTATAAACATGCTACAGTATAGTTTACTATACTGTGGGATAAATCCGTCTTGATATCAGCATATAGCGTGATACGTCATTGCGCTAGTGTATTATTACTGTACCGTGGTATTAGTCAGTGTCTTTTAACTTTAAAGTTTGCTATTGGATTGAATCTATGCAATAACGCTAGGCTTGGAGTGACATAAATACGTTCACTTTTTCGCGGAAGCAGATTTCAGTGCGTAATGTTAAATTTATTATTTAGTCCTATACAAATTTAAGTTGTGAATTAGAATGTTTAATAATACCAGTAGTATTTTATTCTAAAATAGTATATCTTATACATAGAGAAAATTATAAATTACTTGAGTTTCGTATCAAATCTAATTAAAGTTAAAATTAGTTATACTTTATTAGGTTCTAATTATTAACCAATACTTCTAAATCTAAGTTTTACTTTTTTAGTAATACTAGTTCTACATACGTCATACTCATAAGACATACTTCCGACACGTAGGTGAGTTCCATGTGTGAAAACATTCATAGAAATTCGAAAGTGAAATTTATTTATATATCGGAGATGTTATACGTTTCACTAAACTTAGGCCTAATCTACTAATATCAATAATGTGATATTGTTGGAAAGCTCTATCTTTCACGTTTCAAATATTAAAATTAAATAACCTATCTTATCCCACCCTGGCTAGAGTTTGTACAAAGTAAGTTAATTAACTTGTGCTTAAATTTTCCAAGTTGCAATTTAGTTGCTATGTTAACGTAGATTTCTTGACTTTTGACTTTTTCCATATTACAAGTTCAACCCGAACTCAATTTTTGTTTTTTTTAGATTTGTTTATTAGTCATGAAGTACTGCACGAAGCAGTGTTTTGTGTGTTCAAAACTTGTTTGAACTATAAACTGTCTGTTTGGTATTATGGTAAATGATGATGAATTCTAGCAGTATTTATTTTTTTTTTTGTAAATAATACTGTAGAAAAAAGTAGAATCATAATCTACATGAAATCCTCTTGTAATTTAGTGGTTTAATATGCTAAAAATAACTTCTTATTAGTCTTTTTTTTTTGCATATATAAAAAATATTTTGTACTAATGGCTCCTTTCTCAGATGGTCCAGCATGGCCAGGTGGTTAGGACACTTGATTTGCAAACTGAGGGTTGCGGGTTCAATTCTCCATCCCACCAAACATGCTCGCCCTTTCAGCCATGGGAGCATTATAATGTGATGGCCAATCCCACTGTTTGTTGGTACAAGAGTTTGTGGTGGGTGGTGATGACTAGCTGCCTTCCCTCTAGACTTTCACTGCTAAATTAGGGCTGGCTAGCTCTCGTATAGCTTTGTGTGAAATTCAAACCAAACAAACAAACCTTTCCCAAATGAAGAGTAAATGTAAATTATATTGTTTTTTTTTAATCCCATTGCATTAAAATTGGTGTCAAAAAATTCCATGTTTTGTTACTTGTATTTGAACAAAATAGAATTGAATACTAACTGATGTTGACTGATCTTGCCAACCCCCTTTGACTAACAGTACAAAAAGCATATTCAGATGAATTTCATGTCTCAAAAACAAATCGTAAGGATTGTTTCAAATGATATTTCGTACTAGCATGCTAAAGGATAGTTTTACGAACTTTAATTTTTGAATATATCTTTGGTATCGTAGTTATACTAGGTTTTATTAAGTTTAAAATGGAAGAAATGAATGATTTCATTTATATGTTCTATATATATTGAAAAAGGTGAAATATGTAACTGGATATGGAGATTTTTTTTATTTTCTTGATTATAGTGTGTACAAAAGCTGTATAATACTAAAATCTGTACTTGAGTAAAGAAGCACATTATGTTAATATAATAATGTGTAGGCAAACAATAATTTATAAGTATAAGAAAGAGTTTTATTGATGATGGAACATAATATATATTTCTAAATAAGACAGACCAATGGTTTGTCAAAACATGTAGTATGTTCCACCATCAATAAAAAATCTTCCTTATGCTTATAAATCATTACTATTATTAAAATCTGTATCATTGTGGATTTACATGCTTCTTAATTGATAATTAAATGAAGAAAAAAAAAACTAGAAAGACCATGAAGAAAATAAGTGTAATAATTTTGAGTCTTTATATTTTTGGTATTTTATTCTTAGTATTATGTGTTTCACCTAAATTCTTATTCTACAAAGTTCATACTTGTGGGTTTGTTTGTTGCTTGTTTTGGAAGTTTTAATTTACAACATCCACCCCATTATTTTATTTCAATATATAAATAAATAATTTGCACCAAGTTTTATCCATATTGAATATCATTTAGGTGTTGCTCAAGGTAGTTAAAAATTTTACCTTGTTCTGACAGTTTGTTCCGTTTACTGTGTTTTTTTTTTTACTAATTGCTGTACACGATATTTTGTTCTTCTATTATTATTATAGAACATTCTGGAATATTCCAGAGTATTCCACATTAATCAGAATGTTCAAGAGCATTCCATATGTAAATAATCCATGCTGTTACTTGTTACTTCTATAATACCCTGCATGACATTACAGTAGTTTATAGAACTTCTACAAGACAACTTCAGGTCAACCAACTTAGAGAGAATTATCAAGAGCATCTGAACTAGCCTAACTTTTCTTGGTAGCATCCCTTTTCATGGATTATAATTTAATAGCACCTAGAGCTCTGCATCATACATGATGGATGGCCAGGGCATTATATGCTCTCAAGATCTGGATGTTGATGGGACAGTTTGAGCTCAATGACTGTAAGGAAAGAGGGATCAGTGACATTTGCATCTTTGTTGATCGAGTCTATCTTAGAGCACGGTTCACTGCTCCTGTTGCCATTTCTGCTCCTTGTAATGATCTTAACTTCCTACAATGTCTTGTTAAGTATAACAAAGTAAATTATGTCCTTTAAAAATCTGTTTATAAAACATTTTGCTGGACATCTATGATATCTCAATAAGTAACTCATTGGTTTTGCATTCTTTGACTCGGCTATATTCACAGACAAAACAAGAAGTGGTAAAGGCACTAAATGAAAAGGAAGGCATGGATGAACCTCCAAAGCACATCCAACTGAATATCGGGAAGCCTGAGAACATGTCAGTTGAAGATATCATGACAAAAAACTAAACAGACTTTTTCAGGTGCCTTGAAATTCCATTTGGATATCTGGATTATGACACTGAGTCATGGGAGTTCAGTGAGGATTACAGGGAGGCACTACAGACAGTTCAACATTTGAATGTGGTAAATGACAATGCTGAAAGGGGTATTGCCCTTATTGAGGAGTATAATGCCACCATAACAAAGAAAAAAAGAATGGAAACAATTATTCCTTCAAGTTGTGTAAATTGTAGAAGATGCTTTACTAACAGCAGAAAGGAAACAGTAACAATGCAAAAGTGACCAACCACACCAAAATCGTATAATTATATAATTATACTAATGTCACTCTAATAAGCATCATGTGTAAATTGCTAAAAACTTTATTAAAATTTAGTGAAAAGCTGTGTTAACACATTCTCTGCTAACGACATGTTAACACATCAATAATTTCTATTAATCAAGCGTTAATGACTTGTTAACATGTCAATCAGCAAAGGGGCTACAATTACATGCGAGCATACAGATAAAGAGTCTCTTAGTGCTGTACAGTGATTGGGTGTCTTGCCCTCTTGTGAATGAGAGAAAAAATATTTTCACTACAGTTTCAAATCACTTGACCTAAGATTTCTGCAGTGGTTTGTTTTGGTTATCATAAAGCTACAAGATGGCAGTGTTGTGTAAACATTTTAGTCTGAGTGAAACTACAAGTACTTCAAGAGAATTTGATCCATGGTCATTTGAGGAGGAAGAGCAGGTAGGGATAGTAATTATGAGCCTAGTGATTCTGTGTCTGGAATTAAAGAGGCTTGGATTATACTGAGTATGTAAATGTTCAGTCTGATTCGTCTGTATCTGATGCCAATTCAGACACTGATATTTCTTTTACTGGACAGCCTCAAGGTGTTACAGATTTGCTACCAGAGGCCGTTTCAGCCAACGTTTTAAAACTGTTTGTGATGGAGGATATTGTGAATATGATGGTCACTGAAGCAATTAGGTTTGCTGAGCATTTCTTAGAATTGAACCACCTGTTTCTGATTCCTCTTTGATACAAGTAAACAATGCAAGTCATTTTACATTACTGGCTTAGTGCATGGGTTAAAACTGCTGCAGTGACAAATGTGCTAATTTAATATCAAAATTGAAAAGTAGGTTTGGAGAATGTGAATAACCAGTCATTGGATAAAATGACAATGAATGGATGAGTTCCTCAAAACAGTTTTTATCCTTATGTTGAACATTAATAAATTTTTTGCTGTCTGTTGATAACCTTATGATTTAGGGAGATCAACGCATCATTAAGAGTTAAAGACTACGTATCAAAGAAAACTTGTTCATGTTAAATGATGAGAAGGATTTGATGTCCTCAAAATAGTATTACCTCATGATGACTTTTACCTTTTTGAAAATTATTAAAATTTCCAGCTTACTACATGCTTACACATGTATACCTTAAGTTCTTCTCTAGGTTCACAGACCTTGGCTAGTTAGTACGAGTTCTTGTATCCAACTTTATACACTAGGTTCAATTGCAAGAAATTTTTCCATTCTGACGCTATTAGTAGTTCCACATCAGTCAGAGTAGTTTTCTAATAGGTTTCACAACATGTTACTAAACTACTCCAGATTCACTAAAGAAGGCACTACATTTTTAAGACTCAGGGCTACAATTGGCAACCCTGTAAATTTACAGATATTTAATAAAAAATAAATGAGGGAATTCTCAATAGCCATGGCACCTGAAATTATTTTAGGCAGAATTAGAGTAAATTAATCTACGATATCTTTTTTTCCTTTTTATTAGCTATATTTTTTTGCGTCAGCATTATCAAGCATGGGATGCACGTACACCCTATTCAGTTTTATTACTCCTCAGGATCTCTACTGGCCTACCCTCAAATTGAAATTCTTTTAGGCAGGATTAGAGTAAATTAATCTGTAAGACCTTGGGCAGCATGGTCAAATACATCAATCAAAGGGTTTGACATCCTGACTCCAAAACTGTAATAAGATCTCAAATCGGTCAGGAGATGACGGTGCTGTGAGTTAAAAGTTTGTACTTAAAACAGAAACTCGGAGCTGTTCTATGAGCTGCTATGCCGTGGCTAAAAATCACATTTTAACATTGTCCTTAAACCCATAAATAGCAAAGAAATTTTTTATTCTAATAATATCAGTAAAAAAAGAAAAGACCACTGTTTTCTGTAAATACTGAATTCTAAAGTTAGCCATCATGTTTGTGTGGCAAACTATAGTTTTTTGTGTATAATGTAGGTGTTGTGCTTTATCTACCATATCCAACCTACTTATATAAGTTTATTAACAATAAATTAATGCTACTAATTTTTCCTTTTATACTAAGATTTAGCTTATTTTTTTTTACATCATTATAGTCAAACAAGAACACTAAAAATGAGTCTCATAACTAAACTCTTTGGTGGTGGAAAGTCTAAGCAAAAGACACCAACTCCAGCAGAAGCCATTCAACGATTAAGAGCTATTGAAGATATGCTTATAAAAAAGCAAGACTACTTAGAAAAAAAAGTTCAACAAGAACTTCAAACTGCAAAGAAAAATGGTACCAAAAACAAAAGAAGTAAGTTCATCCTAATGTTTCAGTGTTGTTTTCCCACCTTTTAAGGTTGTCAGGTATTAGTCTTGTCTGCATAACAATTTTGGATTTTATTTCTCTCAAGTCAGCAGTTTAAAATTAGTTACAGTGGCAGATAGCTTAAGTAGATTTGGCATAAAAAGACAGGGCAAGCAAGTTCTGTGACAGTATTTCAATTATTTGAACAGTTAGAATAGTCAAACAGTAGTACCATATTTTTTGGTGTATAAGTTGCACTTTTTTACCCCAAAATTTGATGTCAAAATCTGCTTGCATCCTATACACCGAAG